TGGCTCAAAAGTTGCTACTTTGTAACCCCTGTTACAATTTTGCGCCTCAGCATCAAAGCAATTCATCATTGTCCGTTTACCAGCGGATAGACAACATATCAGTCTCCGAGTTGTTCTCTGGTTTTTAATCGTTTTTAATCGTTTTCTTCCTCCGTTCACTTTTATCATAGACACACTGCCGTTATGGCCTCCTCGGCATGGCTCGGACCAAATCTACTGATGCTGATAACATCAAGGACGTGTCACAGCATTGCGTCAAAGTGGAAACACAACAAGCCGACGAAAAAATTCAGAAGACCCGGGATTAAACTCAGAAGACTGATTCACGCCAAACTCAGAACGAGCGAAGACCTGGGATTAGTAGAGGTCGACCACTATCAACCACTATTTTGCCAAAGAGCCTGTTGACATAATGTATTTCGAAACCTGGACGTGATTGGTCATGGTGGATGAAAGTGGAGATCCCCATGCGATCTTGTTGCGAGATCATGTTACCTCAGACATACACCGAAGAACTGTTTTTGCTAGTGGTAACAAGCAAAGACACTCACTTGCAGCCCGCGTCGTGGCCTACACATACCAAAGGCTGAAACTTCGAAGAGAAGCAATCCCTACCGAACACTGGCCCAGTTTTGTCGGAAGAACAAAGAGAACCGGCCCCAACAAGCCGTGTACCCTTCCAAATGAAAACGAAAACGGGGCAGAGGAGCCGGCAAGAAAAACACAAGTATAGATTACCCGCCGCCGAGGAGAGGACCTGGCGCTAAACATCAGTTGTTGACCCAAATAGCATCGCCACACACTATGTCAGCCGAGTGCAAAAATATGAGAACACCGCCTCAGGCAGCAGTCCAGCAACTGCAAAATGCAAGAATCGAAATTGACCAAGCAATGGAGCGTGTTGAGCAGCTGTCAAGACCGCAGGGCAATTACGCAGTCTGAGAATAGACAAAGGACTGCATAAGCGAAGGATGCACATACAGGGGAGTCAGGACATTACTATCTTGAACTGTTTCCCTTTTCTAGAAATTTGTTTCATGTTTGTTTGTTTAAAACCCTATCGTCATAACCAACTCACATTGTTCTTGCTATTTGTCATTGGAAGCCACGCCTCGTTCAAACGTTTGGTGGTCACCCGCTCTGACCACGAAACGGGTGGAGTGAGGAAAATGACGTCACATTGAGCCACTTTCTCTCCTCGATAAAGTGGATCTTCCCGGCGCTCAGCCAAATGTCCGTCCTGATCAAACAGGTTGTAAAAGCCTGAGAAGGGGGGACGAAAGCCAGCCCGAGCCCCCAAACGTCCTCTTACAATCCCGTATGAACTAGATTAGAAGCCCAAACCATCTGCAGCACCTTTGGAAGACTTCTCATTGCTTTGCAACCCTTCGCCCCCCCTTCCTCAGTATCACTTCTCATCCCCTGGCAAACTATCTTGTTCCGATCCCCAACGGACGCTGCTCTCCGTTGAGCTTCGGAGTTCCTCCATTTTCCTCCATTTTCCCCCTCCGTTTAACGATTTTCCTTCATTTTCTTTCGCTTTTTTTCCAACCTTTTTCCTGCCGGTCCTCCACTTTCCTCCGTTTTCCTCCTCCGTAACCGCCCGTAACCTACCGTAACCTCCCATGACCTCCCGTGACCTCCCGGCTAGGATTTGGCCCAAAACGGCCATTTCCCAATCATCCCAGAAGAGAAATTCTATAGCCGACCGGAGGGCCGCTAAATGGCCCATGCTTCCCCGTAACCTCGCGTAGCCAACTGTCACCTCCCTCCTATACAGAGACAGGCATAGACACAAACAGACATACACACAGCACTCTGCACTTTACACTCTACACTTTACACTCTACACTTCACACTCCACGCTCCACAGTCTACACTTTACACTCTACACTTTCCACTCTATACTTTACACTCTACAATTCCACACTCCACACTTTACACTCCACACTCTACACTTTACACACTACACTTTACACTCGACACTCTTCACTCCACACTTTACACTTTACACTTTAAACTCCTCACTCCTCACTGCACACTTTACACTCCACACTCCGCACTTTACACTCCACACTTTACACTCCACACTTTGCACTTTACAATTTACACTCCACACTCCACACTTTACACTCTACACTTTACACTCTACACTTTCCACTCTACACTTTACACTCTACACTTTACACTCCACACTCCACACTCTACACTTTACACACTACACTTTACACTCGACACTCTTCACTCTACACTCCATTCTTTACACGTTAGACTTTACACTCCTCATTCCTCACTGCACACTTTACCCTCCACACTCCACACTTTACACTCCACACTTTACACCCTACACTTTACACTCTACACTCCACACTTTCCACTCCACACTTTACACTCCACACTCCACACTCTACACTTTCCACTCCACACTCCACACTCTGCACTTTACGCACTGCACTTTACACTCTACACTCTTCACTCTCCACTCCATACTTTACACTTTACACTTTACACTCCTCACTCCTCACTGCACACTTGACGCTCCACACTCCACACTTTACACTCCACACTTTGCACTTTACACTGTGCACTCCTCACTCCACACTCCACACTTTACACTCCACACTCTACACTTTAAACTCTACACTTGACACTCTACACTCTACACTCCACACCTTACACTTTACACTTTACACTGTGCACTCCTCACTCCGCACTCCACACTCTACACTTTACACTCTACACTTTACACTCCACACTCCACACTCTACACTTTACACTCTACACTTTACACTCTACACTTTACACTCCACACTCCACACTCTACACTTTACACGCTACATTTTACACTCGGCACTCTTCACTCCATACTTTACACTGTACACTTCACACTCCTCACTCCTCACTGCACACTTTACACTCCACACTTTAGACTCTACACTTTACACTCTACACTTCACACTCCACACTCTACACTTTACACTTGACATTTCCGTCATTTTCTTTTCTTTTCTCCTACCTTTTTCCTGCCGGTCCTCCACTTTCCTCCGTTTTCCTCCTCCGTAACCGCCCGTAACCTCCCGTAACCTCCCATGACCTCCCGTGACCTCCCGTGACCTCCCGCGACCTCCCGGCCAGGATTTGGCCCAAAACGGCCGTTTCCCAATGATCCCAGAAGAGAAATTCAATAGCCGACCGAAGGGCCGCTAAATGGCAGAAAGTTGCTCCCATGCTTCCCGTAACCTCGCGTAACCAACTGTAACCTCCCTCCCATACAGAGACAGGCATAGACACAGACAGACACAGACACAGCAAAACGCTCCACACTCCACACTCTACACTTTACACTCTACACTTTACACTCCACACTTTACACTCCACACTCCAAACTCTACACTTTACACACTACACTTTACACTCTACACTCTTCACTCCATACTTTACGCTTTACACTTTGCACTCCTCACTCCTCACTGCACACTTTACGCTCCACACTCCACACTTTACACTCCACACTCTACACTTTACACTCTACACTTTACACTCCACACTCTACACTCTGCACTCTGCACTTTGCACTTCACACTTTACACTCCACACTTTGCACTCCACACTCCACACTTTGCACTTTACAATTTACACTCCGCACTCCACACTTTACACTCCACACTTTACACTCTACACTTTACACTCTACACTTTACACTCTACACTTTACACTCTACACTTTACACCCCACACTCCACACTCTACACTTTACACACTACACTTTACACTCGACACTCTCTTCACTCTACACTCCATTCTTTACACGTTAGATTTGAAACTCCTCACTCCTCACTGCACACTTTACACTCCTCACTGCACACTTTACACGCCACACTCCACACTTTACACTCCACTCTACAGATTACACTCTATACTTTACACTCTACTTACAACCCCATATGAACTAGATTAGAAACCTGAACCATCTGCAGCACCTTTGGAAGACTTCTCCTTGCTTTGCAACCGTTCACCCCCCCTTCCTCAGTATCACTTCTCATCCCCTGGCAAACTATCTTGTTCCGAACCCCAACGGACGCTGCTCTCCGTTATCACCCCAAACGTCCTCTCACAATCCCGTATGAACTAGATTAGAAGCCCAGACTATCTGCAGCACCTTTGGAAAACTTCTCTTTGCGTTGCAACCCTTCGCCCCCCCTTCCTCAGTATCACTTCTCATCCCCTGGCAAACTATCTTGTTCCGAACCCCAACAGACGCTGCTCTCTGTTGCGCTTCAAAGTTCCTCCATTTTCCTCCATTTTCACCCTGCTTTTAACGATTTTCCTTCATTTTCTGTCGCCGCACTCCTCGCTGCAAACTTTACACTCCATACTGCACACTTGACACTCCACACTCTACACTTTACACTCTACACTTCACACTCGACACTCTACACTCCACATGTTACACTTCACACTGTACACTCCTCACTCCATGTACACTCCACGCTCCACATTTTACACTCTACACTTTGCACTCTACACTCTGCCCTCCAAACTTTGCACTTTACACTTCACACCCCACAATCAACACTTCGCACTCCACACTCCACACGCTACACTTTACACACTGCGCTTGACACTCTACACTCTTCACTCTTCACTCCAGACTTTACACTTTAGACTCCTCACTCCCCACTGCACACTTTACACTCCACACTGCGCACTTTACACTCCACACTCTACACTTTACACTCTACACTTTACACTCTACACTCTGCACTCCACACTTTACACTTTACACTGTACTCTCCTCACTCCATGGTGGGTGAAAGATTGTATGTTACTCCACACCTTATACTCCACACTCCACACTCCATACTCCACACTCCACACTTTCCACTCCACACTCCACACTCTACACTTTACACTTGACACTCCAGACTCTACACTTTACGCTCTGCAGTTTACACTTTACACTCTGCCTTTTACACTCTACACTCTAAGCTCCACACTTTACAACACTTTACACTGCACACTCCCCCCACAGCAGCCACTCTCCACCCCCTACTGTAATGATCCTCAGCCCGCTGGTTCATCGCCTACTAGAAGCCCAAACCATCTGCAGCACTTTTGGAAGACTTCTCCTTGCTTTGCAACCGTTCGCCCCCCCTTCCTCAGTATCACTTCTCATCCCCTTGCAAACGCTCTTGTTCTTCCGAACCCCAACGAACGCTGCTCTCCGTTGCGCCACTTTACACTGTACACTCCCCCCACAACAGTCACTTTCCACCCCCTACTGTAATGATCCTCAGCCTGCTGGTTCATCGTCTATTAGAAGCCCAAACCATCTGCAGCACCTTTGGAATTGTTATCCTTGGTTTGCAACCCTTCGCCACCCCTTCCTCAGTATCACTTCTCATCCCCTTGCAAACGCTCTTGTTCCGAACCCCAACGAACGCTGCTCTCCGTTGAGCTTCCGAGTTCCTCCATGTTCCTCCGTTTTCCCCCTGCCTTTATCGATTTTCCTTCATTTTCCGTCGTTTTTTCCTACCTTTTTCCCGTCATTCCTCCATTTTCCGCTATTTTCCCCCTGTTTTCAACGATTTTCCTTCATTTTCCTTGGTTTTTTTCCTCCCATTTTCCTGCCGGAGTCAACGGACCTAGGGGGAATCGAAGCCTACCGTCACCTCTTTGCGTAGTGGTGCATGCCCCCCAAAAAAGTTCAATTTGCTCGGCCTCCGCTGCAACTAATTTCGAGCTTCCGGCCCCTCACGCGACGTCCGCCCCCTAGACCCCCTAATGCTCAGTTCGTTCGCCAAAACAACTTTGCCTAGCCTATCGGCTGGCCTTCGTAAAAAAAAACAACCGTTTCCGATAAGGCCCGCACCTCCGAGATGAGGTACCACCACTTTCCAAGCCCCAGATCAGAGGAAAGCCTGATGAGGCATGTTTCTGGAACAGTGCGCTTTGAAAAACTGGCCTTGCAACCAAGCTGTGGGCTCCAAGACTTCGATGAGGATGCTAAATGGCCGCACGAAAGCTTGCCTCAAGAAGAGCAGGCAGGACAAACAAGAAAAGCACATGAAACACGCGGCATATCTGCAACGTCAACAAACCCGGCCTTGACAGCACAAGGCAAACGTGAGTCCACAAACATGGGTGCGTGACGCACATGATGGACCCAAGAAGCTCCTACAGCAGCGAACAGGGCTTGGGGTAACAACATCACAAGAAATATCAGCTTCAAAAAGATTATCACCCCAGTATCAGAAAAAAAGGGGACCAAAAACATATTCCACTATAGGGGCAGGGACACAACACATCCCCCTCCAGTTTCCATGTTACAAAAAGAAATCCTGGGACGCTGCTTGGCGACGGAAATGCCATGCTTTGAGCTGCGTTCAGTTGCACACTACCCAGTCACATCCCCACACAAATATAAGCAGTCTTGACTGTAAATACTGTATTCATGGGCAACCTTTTTTCACCCGCGAACCCTTGTTTTTTCACCCCGCATTTATTTTCACCCTCCACACTTCTTTTCCACCCGCCACCCTTTCGTTTTCACCTTCTGAGAGTGCACGTAGCGTATGGGATGGGGAGTGGGAAGCGTGGGATGGAGAGTGTCCAGCGTAGAGGGTGTGGAGTGGAGAGTGTGGATCGCGAAAAGTGTGGCGTGTGAAGTGTGAAGTGTAAAGTGTGAAGCGTGACATGGAAAGTGCGGTGGGGTGTGAAATGTGGAGGAGTGTGCGAAGTGTTAGGGTTCTACCTAAGGAAAGTTTAATTAATTTCTAAATCTAGTTGTAACTGCAATCGACAATTAGTTCAAGCTAGTTGTAACTATTCTTGCTTTTTTTGCGCGCTTGTTGCTGCTGTCATCTTAGCAAAAACCGGGAGTTCCAGAGTTAGTTGTAACCAGTTGTAGCCATTTCCGGGGGGGGTGCAGTTTTCCGAAGATGGTTGCGTTCCACAGTTCCAAAATGCGCCGATGGCTTTTCTGCATTGGCTGAAGTTTCTCTGGGAGGCACCGTACTTCCACTTGCTGCTGATGATGACGGAGTAGACGATGGATGGCATTGGCTTTGGCGCTTGCTTGGGTTCCGCAGGTCGGCCCCCTTTGCCGTCTCCTTTGTTCAACGCTCTTTCATCAGGGCCTCCTGCTTTCATGGAAAGTTTGTCAAAGCCACAACGTCATCACGAGGAAGAAGTCGAAGCCAAGTTGCTCCGGCTGCATTTTCCTTTGCGGCGCTCGCCGCTCTGAGGTACTTTTGTTCCAACACGTGCGGCATCTCTACTTTGTTTCTACGCATCTCCAACTGTCTTGGGATTCCGAGCGCTTGCCATGTACGCTGGGCTGATGAACTTGAAATGCAAGTCGTTGGAGATCCCCAGGAAGTACGTGTACGATGAGCATCTGTACACTCCAGCAAGCGCTTCTCGAATGAGAGCGCTTTGCTTCGACCATATCTTCTCGCGATACTCTCTCTCTCTCTCTTCGACATCTTGCTCGCGTCAAATTCCTCTTCATTGAAGTGTATCCCTTGATTGATCTCGGCGCCCATCCTGTCTCGAAGAGATGGATGGCGCAATCCCTTACACTGTGAGCACCCTTGTGCACCCATATCATTACTGCATTGGACCCCTTCCACCCTTGACTGCATCTCCATTCAATGTGTCATCATCTGGTTCATCAAGTGGTCCATCTTCTTGGACACCATGGAATGCATAGTTCCCTTTAAGATCTATTCTGGTGCAACTGGTTCGGCAGTCATCAGGGAGACCGGGTGAGTGTCTTTTCAAAAGGAATTGAGAACAACAGCCGACGGCCTCTGAATACCAGTACATTGCGCCGATGTTCTCTGCAGGGATAGCCTTGTTCCTTGATCCAAGTTCGATCTTCCCCCTCCCTGCTGGAAGGTCCGTTTCAATCTCGTCTTACTTGTATATTCACGCTGGCAATTGCCTTCTGGATTTCTTTGGTTTCTGCCTCGGTATCATCAATAATGATTCAATAATGATGACATCAGGGTCGTTGAGTTTCTCTCTTGGCTCCTGATCCATCTCCATCGTCTTCTCTTCTGTTGCTACGTCGCCTTCTTTGATGTTTGCAGCACGAACACGCTGAAACGGTGGGATGTTTCCTCGTCTTGGCTTGGAGCCTGTTCCGGTTCCTCATCTTGCTCACATCACCTTGGAAAAACTCACGCAAGGCGACATTCAACGAACAGTTGACGCATGAAATGCGGTTGTTCTTGTATGGCTCCCGATCACAGTTCCCATCAAGCTGCCAGTCATCGCAGAGGTCCAATACGTCAATCACCATCCAGTGAAGCACCAAGTTGTACGATGGCTCGAGTAGGTTCATACCACACACTGCGCTCATCCACGCATTGGCCCCGGCCTGAACGTACATGATCACCTATACCCGCTGAACCTTCATTGGGTGTTGCATTGTTTTCGGACTTCTCTTTGGGTTTCAGGAGGTCCGGCGTCATCTTAAGTTGTCTGACCAGCTGTAGATCGATCTTCGATCCTCCGGGGACCGACAGGATACTTGAAATGCTACTCACGACTTCGGGTTTACATCCGCTGAGCATCAACATCTTCTGTCTTGCGAGGCACTTCTCCTTCCGCGCCCCAGCAGTTGGCGCCAGTTTTTTTGCATTTTTGGCTGGGTTGCGTGGATGGAAGCTCTGATTTTTAGGCTCAAGCTTTCCTTTGCACTATGTCTCGAGCAAGTAACCAAGCCTCTGCGCAAGATTTTGTTCACATCTTGCGAGGGCGTGCAACTGTTTTCCATGCCCCTGATTTGGCATTGGGCGTGGAGGATTTTGTAGAAAAACATTGAGAAGTAATCTGCGGGCTCTTAGAAAAGACACATCGGCGAATGTGACTGCGTTACTGTGTTGCAGCCAGCTTGCAAGGCCGTGTTCAAAGTTGGGCCAGAGAATTGCAAGGACTGGGCTCAAAAAGTTGCAATGCATTGGCAATGCATCCAGTTTTGTCGCACCAAAGCCAAGTCAATGTCCAGTGGCTAAAAATTGCATCGCGCAGTTGCCAAAGTTTGCGATCGGCTGCTTGGCAAGTCACCTGCTGGAGAAAGATCTGCTGAGCCCAATCTTGCAAGAAATCACGCAAGCAGCAAAAAGGCATCAGACCAAAGTGCAAAAATTTGCCTGTCGTGTCAGACACCAGTGAAGAGGAGCTTGCTGTTGCAGGAGACAGTGTTGCCAAGAGAAGATTAGCATTTGAAAACGTGGACTTGACTCCTCCCAAAGCTCCGAGAACTTTTAAGCCCGAGTCTCCTGATGTTTGTTCTGTGGCCAGTTCTCCTGTTGCTGCAGTGCCAGTTGCATCAGCTTCTTCTCGAGAGTTTTTTGACTCTCACAAGTTGGAGTATGTGAGAATGACTGGTTCCACAGAACAGAGATCGCCTTTGGTGGAGGGCCCATCCGGTTTCTGTGTGGCCCACTTTGGTTCAGACACTGTGGCGACAGATGTACCAAATTTGGCGCTGCAAGCTGCAAGTGCAGAAACCTCCTCCCTCTAGGAAGACCACGAAAGTGAAGAAGAACAAGACCAAGGTGAAGAAGAAGCCAGCATCTTCAGCTGCTGCTGGAGCCACAGCTGCTGCTGCTGCTGCTTCTTTGATCGCCGCACCTTCTTTGGGAGCCGGGGCTCCTCCATCTTCACCAGCTGCTGAACCTGCTGCCCCTGAGAGATCCCTCCCTTTAGGTGAATACTGTGTAATGTACTATAAGGTTTCAGATGCCAGGCCCATAGCTTCTTGGGGCAACAGGCAGAAATTTGGATTGAAGTCTATTTCTTGTCATGTTTCCCAAGCTCAACACAAAATTGAGAAAGCGCATGACATGTTGAAGTCCGGCACTCCTGAAGTGGAAGTGAAAGCTTGGCTGACCAATGGAAAGAAATCTGCTGAGGATGTGAACTAGACGTGCAGAGACTTGTTGCAAGCAAAATAGCAGGGGCCAGAGGTGTTAGCAGCTGCAGCAGAGACTGAGGTAGGTCTGTGAGGCAGAGGCTGAACTTTAAACACCTGACTGAAGTACTTAGCGAGCTTCTCAAGTTGCAGTGTTTTCCTCTTTTTTTTCATGTTTGGCCTTTTGCTATAGCGGTTTGAATATGTTTTGTTTCACACTGCTGAGCAGCAAGTTTCAAGCACAGTTTCAAGTCTTTGTTTCTGGAGCTGACCTGGCTCCATTCTGATTTGCATGGTGTAACTGCCTTTTGTTTGTAGTTATGGCGGCAGCTTCCGGTGCGCCACCACTTCCTCCACCACCTGGAGGATGGTCCAATGATAAGGACCATCCTGGGCTCGAACCTGTTGAGGAAGAAGAAACATGGGAGTGGGAGGGCCTTTCGAAGTGTAAGGTTTGTGTATATAAGTCTTACCTTCGCAAGGGTGGATGCGCATATTGGGTGTGTGACTCTAGGTGTTGGTTTATGTATGTTTTTTGTTTTTGTTGAAGCAAGTTTTTCATGGTTTCCTTCTTGTTTTTGTTCAGGATGGTGACCAGTCTTCAGGGTCTGTGGCTCCTGCACAGTTTTCAGGAGTTTGAATTTTTTTGCTCCTGCATTTTTTTTAAGGGGCCACTAAGAAACCCCACTATATGCGCAACCCGGACTGGAAGTACAATGCCAAGGGCGCTGGTGGCACTTGGAAGCCTGATGAGCTTAAGGCCTTTGAAAAGCGTTTGGAGAAGAAGAAAAGGAACAAGGGGCTTCAGAGAAAGTGAGGGTCTTCAGAAAGGGTTTTCTGGTACCATGTGGTGGAAGAGAGGTTTTGCTCAGCAGCCTGATCCCAAAGTTCAGCAGATTGAGCCTGTGGTTCCTGATGCTGCGAAGGCAGAGCCTTCTGAACCTGAGCCTGCACCTAGGCATTTGGACCGACTCCCCAAAACCTTTCGCGACCAGTCGCAGAGTTTGGCCCAAACGCCGAAGAGTTTGATCAAACACTTTGCTCTCGCAAAGCAGAAGATGGTGAATCAGCCCTATTTCGGCATCGGGGGAGAATCTGGGATAGGAATATGTGTTTTTGGAATTTAGGCGGTCTGCGGTAAATCGTTTTTTGGGTGGCTTGGTGGGATGTTCATGTTTTTTGGTGGTTGGTTGTTGGTGCATTTTTTTCAGGATAGTGTTTTGTCACCTGTCTTTTTCAGGAGCCCACCATT